TGAGGCGTATTAAGCTACGCTGAATCGCAATCTGCATCAAGCGCACAGGCAACCTTAAATGGGGTATTCTTCCACTATTGACTTCCGAAATGTACATTAACCGCTCAAATATATCTTGAAAATCGCAATACTGTACAAAGCTGTGCTGATTGCGTTTTAGCGTGTGCGGCCAATGTGTTACCGCTGTTCTTCTATCCGTTATCGAGTTAAGAATGATACGCAGGTGCTCTTGCTTAATTCCAAGGTTTGCGAAAACATTGTCTTCGCAAAAGCCAAATGAAGCTGAGAAAAGTGTGCCGTTTGTCGAAATTAAAAGTTCCACGTCTGCGCCTTCAAGCGAGATCCATTGCTGGAAGTGTCACATGGTGTTGGACTGCTTTAAGGAACAGTTCTTTTGCGGTAATTGCGAATACATTCAGCCTCCAAAACACTGTTACAACTACTTCAAATTCTTTGGCATCCCCGTTTCGTATCGTCTGGACAAACAGCTGCTGACGGCTCGATTCCATGAGTTGCAGCAGAAGTTGCACCCGGATCGATTTACGAAAAAGTCCAAGGTGTCTGCTTGGCAGCCGTTTGTGACGATGCATCGTTTTGCTCTAAAATTTATTGTTGTTTTTATCTTTTAACCGTTCGTCAGCGATCATCCCTATTCTCTTCTTTACGCGTATTCTTTTTTAAACGCTTTCATTATGCTGTTAGAAAAATTTTTAAATTTTTGCTTTCGAAATGATTACACTAATTTAGCAGTAGGACAGAGAGATAAGTCATTTAACGGTATTTTTTTAGTGCCTTCTTTAAATGGTTGACGCACGATGGTTCCATGTGATCAGGGGTAGAGACTAACTGTATGACCAAATTTTATTTTTCCTGTGTTGGTTGAGATGGGGTGATTCTTGAAATGTTTTAAATAAACATAATCAGAATCCAGCACCGACCATTTTTTTTGTGTAGAAGTATATTAGTTTAAGATTGTTTACTTCACAGGAATGTGAATATGGAAATGACCTGTTTCGGTTTTAAATAATGGGAACGTAAACTTTATCGAGTCCAAGGTTTGAGGTGGTGTTTTATTAAAAATTACAAATAATCATCCGGTGGAAAATCACCACGCAGCACAGTTATGTAGCTGAGTTAAAGGGTGTTTTAATGAGATAATGATGCTTGTTTCTGTTACTAGTTTTATTTTGAAGATTAATCGTTCGATTCCATAAGGCTGTCAAAGAACTGGTCATTGAATATATTTTTTTTCTTTCATACAACCGTTGTAGAGTAGATTAAATTTAATTCGGTTCATTGTTTAATGTCTGATTTTATTTTTTTCACTGTTAATTAGACAAGATTTTTATTGATAGAATAATTTGTTCGTGCGTTGCTGCTCATTTTAAAAAAGAGCATAAAACGCGGTTTACTTATATACAGCGCAGAATGTACTGCGGCCAATCCGGTGACTGACCAGTACCAGAGTTTTGTGACAAAGGATACAAACTCTGCGCGGATTGTATGAGTCTCATTGCCCTCGTCACCCAAAGACTATTTAATCAGCAGCACGTACCGAAAGCTTGCCTTCCGATTGCTGCGGACGACCGTCCACATTAACAGAACTTCACCACAAATCTGTCTTGAAGATGGCCCGTGAGACATGGGCCGCAATGTCGGTGTTCATTAGTCATTCCACTGATCACGGTATCTTTTGCATTGTGTATCAGTAAACTGCGTTTTGCGCTATTTTTTCATGATTTTATTTTATCTATAT